CCAAAAATGATCAGGCGGCCCTCAAACATTAACGAATTTTAGGCAATTCTAATTTTTTTCGTGTTTTTGCCTCTAGCTTCCACCACCAGACCGATTTTCAAAAACTACAAAGATTTTTCATCCTAGGCATAAAAGTAAAACCGCATCGAAATACGAGCAGTACCTCTCAAGTTATAGGAGGTTCTAAAATTAGCAGACCGACAGATAGACACAGCGTTGGAGATGAGTGACATGGTTTTTTATGATGTACATATCATATTACATCAAAAAATCGTAATATCTCAAGTTTTGGCAAAGGAGGTAAAAGGGCATTTTTAACTACCTGTCCCTGAGAAGACCTAATTTCGCTAATGTGCACCTTCAGGTGTAAGTAAACATTCACCCCCATTTAAGTAGAATATCACGTTGCCGCGGTAAAGACAAACATTGTAATTGAATGATGTAAACGTTTCTATTACCTTTCCGTATTACCATAAAAATATTATTACATTAAGGGGTTGGAAAACAAACGCGTCCCTTTTTGCCGTTATGTTTACATTTTACGACAAGGGAAGGAAAAGCTTTATTGATGGGAAGGGAAAATATAACGTATGTACGCACACATAGAGGACGTCTATATTGCTTTAGGATGAATGTTTTATTCTGTGTATATTTTGTGTTGTCGATCATAGTGTTTTATGGGCATTCTTCATTCCTTATCTCGGATTTTTCGGGGTCTCTGGACACTTTTTCTGTATGTTTTGTTATACAAAGCTTTTCCCCACTTTATACGTTTTTTTGGTAGACAATGGAAGAGCCTGAGTACGGGGGCACCGCGACTGCTATCAGACGAAGCCTGACGGGTATGTCTATCAGGCACATCGTGTGGAATAATGGAGGAGATCCCTGAGAAGCAAGGCTCCTTCGAACAGCTTCGAGTATGGACATTGTAGTCGGGGCGGCAGTACCTCAAATACGTGAGCAGTACTCGAGGCCAGTTCTCATCTGGGCGTTGTACAGAGTGAGAAGGTTATGTGGAGGAAGGTACTGATAGTCACAAACAAATATCTTAGCTTTTTCCCACCAGCTGCCGCGTTTGACGATATGCATTCGAGCCAAGTCAAGTCCACGGTGATCTGACCTTTGACCAGCTGAAATGAACGGCACTTTGATAGAATTCAGCCATCCTTCGAAACTGCAATACTGTGTTTTGATAGCATTGAACTGTACCACATTATTAATAATAATAATAATAATAAGTAACGTCTTTTATTTGTAATATTCCTACAGGAGGCGAGATTTAGATTATATATCTATTCTACCATCTAACCCTCTTAACAATTCGAGATGTAAAAAAAAAAAAAAGAAAGAAAGAAAAAGAATTTATTGAAAATTAATAGGCACCTGTATACAATAACGAATAATCCAAGTAAATACATAAGGAAAATATGAGGACACTTATGGGTTACAACCGATTTCGCTGCTGATCAAGAAGAACTTCTTTCACTTTTTTTTTTAATTTGGATAATGGATTGGTTTCTTTTAAACTGCGGTCTAAAGAATTATATGATTTGATCGCATTGTAAATGTATGAATTCTGAAATAGAGACGTGCTGTGGCGTGAAATTGAAAAAGTCTCTCTATATCTAATATTAATACGATGCATATTCCCTCTACGTATGAATTTTTTTACTAAATATGACGGTGTTTTTGAATAAAGAATCTTATGAGTCAGATTTAGGAGCTGGTACTTATACATTTTATCAATTTTCATCCATTTGAGTTCATTAATGGCATTCGATATATGATCGTATTTTCTGAGATCATTTACAAGCCTGCAACATGTATTCATAATACTTTGAATACGATTTCTTGTTATAATATCTAAATAGGGATAGTAAACCACTAAGCAATACGATATCTTTGAAAATACGAAATATTCACACAATTGCTTTCTCGCAGATTTATGTAATATAGCCTTATTTGCAAATAAAACTCTGAGAATAGCGTAGCACTGCGTAATTAGATAGTTCACGTGTGCAACAAATTTTAAGTCATCATCCATTATAATACCTAGGTTTTTCGAATGATCCACAGGAATTAATTTATTACCTTTTAAATGTATGTCTATGTCCTTTTTTAAGGTATTCTTTTTTGTTCTATTTGCGTATACCAACATATTTGTCTTCAAAGGGTTCAAACGAAGATTATGACTACTACTGAACTTTTCAATTTGGGCAAGATCTTGATTAATTTTATTATTTACGGTTTCTAAGTCATTACTCCTAAATGAATAGAAAATTTGAGTATCATCTGCAAAAAATTGTATGCTGCATGATTTTACATCTGTTTCTAAATCTGAGATATATAATGAAAATAATAGTGGTCCTAAGACTGATCCCTGTGGTACACCAGAACAAATTTTTTGTTCCGTAGAGTACTGTTGATTTAGACGAACTTTTTGATACCGATTTTCAAGGTAGGTTTGAATAAACGAAAGAGGTTTTTCAGAAAATCCATAGTAACTGCATTTAGATACAAGAAGCGAGTGATTAATGGTGTCAAATGCTTTAGTAAAGTCAAGAAGTATGAGAGCTACTGCTTTTTGGTTATCAAGTGCCATTGTTATATTGTCTGTTAAATCACAGAGTGCCGAAGCTGTATTATGACCTTGTCGAAATCCAGATTGTTTAGATGGAATAATTTTGTTAGAATATAAGTAGGCGCACAGCTGCTCGTAAACAACGCGTTCCAATACTTTAGAGAAAATTGGCAGTAGACTGATCGGTCTCAGTTGACCATAGTTAGTAGGACCAGAACACTTAGATAGCGGAATAACTATAGCGCGTTTCCACTGATTGGGGAAATATCCCCTCTCTAAACAGCAGTTTATAATATGCGTTAAGTAGACATCAATTTCAGGTATACATAGTAGTATCATATGCAAAGTTATTTCATCTGTACCACTAGAATTTGATTTTATTTTAAGTATAATTTTAACAACGGTGTCAATAGTCACTTTATTAAATTGAAATTTGAATTTTGAGTTATTTTTATTAGCTCGGTAATATGCAATTTTATCAGCACAAGCCAAATCACTATTCTCGAAAATTGAAATGAATGCCTCATTTATTTTATACGGATCGGACAAGCTCACGGGAATTGCCGAATCTTTCTGAGATTGTACTTTGAAAGTCTTTAGGGTCTTATAAAACTTTTTTATATCCTGATTTTGAACAGCTTGTAAATAATCTCTTTTTCCTCTTCGCACGAGCGTTAATGCACGATTTCTGAAATATGTATACTGTTGCCAAGAGGCGGCTGTACGATCACGTTTGAACTTTGACAAAGCTTCAGCCCTCTGCCTGAATACAAGTTTAATATTATCATCCAACCAAGGAGCTGGAGCTTTGTTTACACGCACTACCTTTTTTGGACAGTGAACATTAAATAAGCATAAAATACTATCTGTTAAAAAGTTAATTTTATCTTCAATGTCATCTATCGATATAATATGCCACCATGGAAAACTCTTGAGATCTTGTTCAAACGCTATTTCATTTAAACTATGGAAATCCCTGAATGTAACAAATTTCTGTTGATTTTTAGGAAGTGCAATACGTATATCACAGAAGGTTAAGTAGTGATCAGTAATCATATCAGCATTAATAGTGCCACTCCTAAGACAACTTTCAGGCTTGCTCAAATAAATAGGATCTAAGAGAGTGAGTGTCGATTCAGTTATTCTAGTCGGTTCAGATATCACCTGTTTCAGATTATAAGAATCAAGGCATTTAGTCAAGTTGTTACAAACTAAAAGCAAATTAACATTGATATCCCCTGCAAGGATGATATCATCATATTCAGCTAATATGGCAGGCAACATGTTATCAAAGGTATTACCGGCTTCTGTAACAGAGCTATGTGGGGGCCGATAGAATATACCAATAGCAATTTTTTGTTTTGGAAGCTGCACCTTCAACCATATATATTCAAGACTTGGGTCTTGCCCAAATGAAATTATGGAAGAGTTGTAGTGGTTGTTTACAAAGACTGCAACCCCACCACCTCGCCCATCTCTATCACAGCGATAGCAGTTGTATCCATTCATTCTTATATGGTCATTAGATATATCTTTTGATAGCCACGTTTCCGATATTCCAACAATATCAAGGTTGTTGTTTTGAACCAGTGTACTAAATTCATGAAATCCTGATAAAACTGATCTGCAGTTTATATGACCAAATTTTAAAACCTTTAATTTATCACTATTCATATTCAATTCTAGATTTCAAGTATGTAACATATTTTTTATAAGTTGGACAATCCAAGTCTTTAGAAGAATGACTAGTATCAAATTGAGTGTTGAATTTAGAATTGTGATTCATACAGTTTGAACAATTCTTAAAAGCAGATTTACAATTTTTTTTCCAAATGATCTCCAGCACATAAAGGACATGATACTTTAGAATGTATGCAATTTTTTTCCATGTGGCCAAAACCTGAACATTTATAGCAGCGTATAATTCGTACATAATCCCGCACAGGACATCTTTGCCAACCCATGTATATATGACCTCTATCTAGCAACGTTTTTCTAAATTTTGGGCTAACCTCAATGACAACATTTAAAGTAGATTCGGAACATCTGAAAGTGGTTACAGTTTTTATATCATCACTACTGAAAATACCAAATTCATTCTGGGACAAGATCTTCTCGATTAATCCCTCAGATTTTGTGAAGGCGCATTCTACATTATTTATCACCATGCGTGGGCGATATTTCTTGATCTCATTGACAGTGAAGTTCGCACCGAGTTCTCCCTGTATACTCGCCATCAGTTTGGACATTGATGCTTCATTTTCGCAGCTAAGAATGATGCCATTATTCACCCTCCTCACAGAGTTCACACAGATATTTGACTTAGCTGGATCAATGCTCTTCTTCAAATCTTCCAACACATTAGAGTTTGATTTGTCCGTACTTTTTATCATCAACTTTTGTGTATTATTAATTTTACCTACAATCTTCTCATCTCTGCTTTTTTTTGACTCTTTTACAGCTCCACTATATGATTTAATTACATCATTACAACGGGTGTATGAGGTAGTAGCTTCTATTTTTTCAACTCTTTCATTTATTTTCCCCAAAGAAGTGATTATGGTTTCTTTATCCACTATACTGCTAATGATCAATTCATAATGCTCCTGTAAACGTCTGTTCTCATTAACTAATTGATTGATATACCTCTCTTTATCTAAAATTATTTCATTCTTTGTTTCTAATAGCTTCTTCAGGTACTGTACTTCTTGCTCTATAGTAGTATTTGCATTATTCTTGGATAAATAACTTTCATCTTTATCTTCTTGTTGCTCTTCTTCATCCTTCTTTTTTCGTCTAGTCATATCGGATAAACACTCTATGTATAGGCTAGGTTGAAAGTTGATATATCTTGACAAAAATGTGACTTTTGTGACACAATTTCGGGAGAGGTTAAAGAAAAATGATCGAAAATGCTTGGTTCGTCCTCGGAAGAGCTGCTAACGTTTCTGTAAGTACTTACTGGTGTTATCTCTTGTATGGTTACTTCTCCAGAAGATTGGGTACGATGTTTCTCACACTTTACGTATATAGCAGGAGCAGGTATTTTTTTGATAGATAAGTTGACGAGATCGATATGTCATATATTGTGACCCCCAAGACAGATTTCTCGTTAGAGAGGAAGTCACCAGTACACCGGCCGAGATCGGCACAGCATTCTGAGTACCTGCACGCAAAGAGTTGTCATCAGCAAAACCGTGGATCGGATTTATCAAAGAAGCGGTAGTTGATGCCTAAGAGACAATGTTGGAGCCAAGACCGATCGCTGGGGATCAGCTGGAGTACCATTGTGGGATGAAGAGGAGAAACCTTCAGCTTCGATGAACACCTTGCGGCCAGAGAGGAAGTCAATGGCAACGAGATGAGCCTCACCATAATTATGACTGGATCAGTTTGCTCCACAGTTGTGTGAGGTGGGAGGTCTCCCTTGATCGATGGTGCCGGAAACCATACTGTGTGTCACTAATCAGGCCGAAGAGCTCGAGGTACTCCAGAAGCTATCGACTCCGTCATCACATTAGTCATAACAGAAAGCAGATCCCTGCGAATCAAAAATTAACCTTCCTTTCCAAATTTTCTAGTAGATTGTTTATTACCTTATAAGTTATGGTCAAAGGCAAGGTCAAGGTCACCGTTCTTATTGGTCATTTCACACTTCGACACATCGTTCGTAAAGTTTCTATGGTGTAGTTTTGCTAAAGAGCCGTTCGTTCCAGTAGTGGTATACGTTTTCTGTAACTGTTAAGCCGTAAAAGCTCTTTTTTGTTGTTGCCAACACCAAGATGCTGGCTTAATGTTGTGTGAAATGCAAATTTGCTTCCGCAGCATAATTGCTGTAAAATGAGGTGTCTAAAACATTGTTGTAGCATACTTATACAACACCTTATAGGATACATTTTGAACTGTTGCATAAGCGTTTATATAAGCATCGTATACTACATATCAGCTCGGTAGTCAAAAATGTTGTGTCGGCATCCATGGTAACCCTTATTCAACATACCGGAGCTTTGTTGGTTTCATGTGTAAAATTACTACTTTAGTCAACAAGTTACTCCCAACACAAGCATTTATAAAATTGTCGTTCAGTAACTGTTAAAGGCTATACATCTGCAACAATGTCACAACCTTTATAGTACAGAATTTCTGTGCTTGGCATGCATTTCTTGGATTATGTATGGATATACAACTTCACACCATAACCTAAGTTTCATCTTGTGTGTCATCTTTTTAGGTTAAATGTCTTAACCATTATTTTTCTTCTCTAAGATAAGCAAAGCATAAACTTTCGTTATAAAGGTTCGACTCTGTCCATACCCAACTAGCAAAGTAGTGCTATAAGCTTTTGGTAAAAGAACTGTCCAGCCGTAAAAGCTCTCTATTGTTGTTGCCTGAACACCAAAATGCTGGCTTAATGTTGTGTGGAATGCAAGTTTTCTTTCTGCAGCATATTTGCTATAAAATGAGGTGTTTAAAATATTCTTATAGCATAGTTATACAACACCTTATAGGACAAATTTTAAACGGTTGCATAAACGTTTATACAACTATCTTATACGGCATATTTGCGCGGTAGTCAAAATAGTTGTGTGCATCCATGGTAACGTTTATACAACAAACCCGAGCGTTATTGTTTTGGTGTGCACATTTACTACTTTAGCCAACAAATTTCTCCCAACGGAAGCACTTATACAACTGTCGTTTATTAACTGTTGAAGGCTGTACATCTGCAACAATATTGCAACTTTTATAGTACAAAATTGCTGTACCCGGCACACACTTGTTACTAAATATGCTGATGTACAACTTCACCATAACCTAACTTTCTGCTGTCATCTTTTAAGTTAAAATGCTATAACCAATATTTTAAGAAATGCATATTGGTTTAGAAGGTTTTATCAACTGTTCAAACAGGAGATATAGATCTGGTAGAAATTCCAGGTAAATCATTCGACTCTGTCCGTATTTCATTTTAGAGATTTGTCAAATATAACACTTGCAGACAACACCAAAATATTCTAATAAACCAAAGACAACATAGACGATGCCATGATTATACAGAGTGGCCCATAAGTCCTTTGAGCTGGAAAAAAAGGAATATAACCAAACTAGTTACATTATGAAGAATTATTATATTTTGTTATCAACTTTATTGAATGGGAATTTTGTTTTAAAAATCACATCGTCTAAATGCAATCCATTACGATCACGGCACTCATATAAACGACGTCTAAAATTGTCGATGACTGCGTGGCAAGTCAACACTGTAATGCTTGCCATTTCTCTTCGGATATTTTCTTTCAGGACATCAACTGATCGCGGAGTGGTGTCGTACACTTTACTCTTGAGGTAGCCCCATAAAAAGAAGTCCATTGGGATCGAATCTGGACTACGTGGTGGCCAGGAAATGTCTCCCCTTCGAGAAATTACTTTGCTGGGAAAAAGTTGACAGACGACGGGCATAGAAATGTTGGAGGTGTGGGCAGTTGCTCCGTCCTGTTGAAACCAGGTCTGCGTATTATAGCCTGGAAAATTCTGCAACGCTGGTGTCAAAAACTCTTCTATCATTGCTACATACCGCTCCGAAGTAACAGTTAATGCGCGACCTCTGTCGTCCTCAAAAAAATAAGGGCCTACGATGCCATGCGCTGACATAGCAGCCCAAACTGTAACTTTAGGGCTGTGTAAGGGCTTCTGATGCTTACGCCTTGGATTTTCGGGGCTCCAATAACGGCAATTTTGTTTATTTACATGCCCGTTTAAATGGAAGTGAGCCTCGTCCGAGAACAACACATTATTGAGCGAAGAAAATCGATTCAACATTTCATTCGCAAAGTTTAGTCTCTGAATAGCGTCATTATCTTTTAATTCCTGCACTAACTGAATTTTGTAAGCGTGCAGACGTAAATCTTTCCTTAAAATCAGCTGTAAAGATGTTCTGGGTACGTTTAGTGCACTGGAACGCTTACGAGTAGACTGGGTAGGATTTTGACGAACAGACTGTGCCACAATGTTGATGTTTTCTTCAATACGAGTTGTCCTTGGTCGACCCCACCGCTGTTTATCTAACGTCGAACCAGTCTCTTCGAACTTAGCAACCCAGTTCTTAATCGTATGCGCTGTTGGACACTTTGTAAAATTGTGGTATTCTCGATATTTACGCCGCGCAATGGTTGCCGAATCATTATTTTGATAAAACGCGCGCACACAAAAAGCACGATCCGCTCCAGTGAAACACTCCATGGCGACTGAATTCCCAGACACTGAAGATACTGCCCCCACCTCGCCCGCGCCGCTCACGCTCACCCGTTAAATTTTATTCAAATTTGAACTTTCAAAGGACTTATGGACCACCCTGTACATAAGCACCCGCCACATTGGGCAAAAATATATTCCTCTATTGAAAATTAATTAATTATGTTTCAGTTCGACATTACAGATATAAAGTGATAATCATTAGTGTAGTTGTGTCTAAATATAGGATTTGTGGAAGGTTTAACGCAGATAGGTTCAATTTTTCATCTTAAAAATCTAAACATACTTTTGATCATTATTAAAATATGAATCAAATACGAAGCCCGTAGAAATTGCGTAACTACGTTGCACGATAATCACAATAAAATTTGCTGGGCAAGTAATTCAATAGTCCTGTATCACCGTGTAGAAGTTTATCATATACCTGTGTATGAAATTCACAATTTCTGACATGTAAGTAAACAAGATGACTGTAATGTGTTAGTTATCGCCTATACAATACATAAGAAATAGTTTGGTTGCAATAAAGTAGAATCATGTAACGTAATAGTTGTACAGTTGACAAAAACTGAATCTTGCACCGACGCAAATGTTCTATAGCGGCTGCAAGAGGTTTTGTTGTATAACTGTTACCTGCAGCCTTATACAACCTCTTAAATGACTGAAGTGTCCTATTAGTTGTGCCCATTTCGCTTGTATAGCTGTTCTAAGACCGTTTTGACAATGCTCTTACAGCATAGAATGCTGTGTAACGAAGACTGTATAATCGTTCTTACAACTCTAAGAGGAGTGATAATTGTTAGTTGGGTATTTCATTTCGGAGATTTACCAAATTGCTGTATAACACCTGCGGACAGCCAAAGACAATACGGAGGATGTCTTATTGGAAAGTAATAAGCATTAGTGTAATTGTGTCTCAATATAAGATTTGTGGAAGAAGCAGATAAGTTCAGATTCTCATTTTAAAAATCTAGACATATTTTTATCATTTCAAAAATATGATCTAAGTACTAAAGCCGAAGAAGTTGCATCACTAGTTTGTACTATAATCACAATAAAGTTGGCTGTGCAAGTCATTCAATCGCCATATATCACAGTTTAGAAGCTTATCACATAGCTACTTCTATATGAAATTCACAATGGCCGATACGTCAGTAAACAAGATGAATGTAATGTGTTAGTTTGATAATATTCTTCACTGCCCCTGTACAGTACATGAAAAATAGTTTAGTTGTAATCGAGTAGAATAATGTTACAGAATGGTTGTATAGTTGGCAAAAATTAAATCTTGCACTGATGCTAAAGTTCTTTAGCGGATGTAAGAGTCTTCACATGTTTGTTGTATAACAATTCCCAATGCTCTTACAAACCAGAATGCTGCTGTGCTGTGATTGTTAGTTGGCCAGATCACCGAAGATTTGAAGGCCCAGCCTCAAGGACTCCTTACATGTTTGTGGTGTTGCCGCCCAAACTAGTCTGATCATACTCTAACCGTCAATCTCGAAACCCTTTCTGACCGACTGACTGCCGGTGTCTACCGCTACGTCAATGG